TTTACCTCTAGACATACTTTGTTGGGCCTTTATTTCACCAAGAGATACTTTTGTTGTAAAGTGTACTTCTACCCTTCTTTTAATACCTGAATTTCTGAAAATACCCCTGCGCCAGATTCACTCTAATTTGAGCTCAATATTTAGTTACCTTCTTTTAATCATGTCCGGTCATTTTCATTGATCTCGTTTTATATCAACGGTTAGTATTATCCCAGTTGAATCATAAAAAGACCCGCCTACATTAAATGTTGTCAACACCCTTTTAAATTATGTGGTTCAGATCATCTATTTCTTAGAACTTGCGGCTCATTTTAAAAGTTCCCAAACCTGTTAGGTGAGTTTCTGTGTTCAGTAAGAAGAGTAGTTTTCTTTTACAATTAGGGTTTCCAAATATACAGATCTCTATGGACGCAAAACTTTAGCTCTGCTATTGTTCTTCTTCGATTCTGTGTGGATGGAGGTACATTATTTCGTTTTGTGTGGAAATTGGACTTTCCAGGATGACGGTTCTTGGGACTTTGTTATGGACAAACAGAGGATGGCTAGGGTTGTATGCGTGCCTCCTTAAATCAACCTGGTTGAGCTAACAAATGTTGTTGTTTCTGAGTTTGGTTTTTACAACAATACGGGTTCAGTTGATCTGAGCTTTTGGCCATCTCAAGGTAAAGATTTGAGCCCTGCTAACCAACATCTGCCTGTTATCCTTAGTACCGATAGTTCTCTAGCTTTTTTCTTCAGTAGCCTCTGTTTGAACCGCGATTTGACGCTCTTTGTAAGCTTCAAAGGCGACTCCGTTCTCGTTACTAGTTCTGGTTTCAAAACTCCCGACATTGCAAAGAAGAGACAACATCATGATAACTTCTTTTGGAAGATTACTGAGAGTTTCCAAACACAGGGTACTCCTTCTCACTTGCCTACTGTCGGGTCTAAAACCAAGGCTAAATCCGTTTTCTGTTCTGATGATGAGCTGATTGTAGCTGCGGAGTCTGCTGAAGCTACTCTCCGTTCACGTATCCCCTTTGTTGACAGCCCTGCTCCTATCTCCAGCAAGAGACATTGTCTTGTCGATTTCAGTTTGGGTTCAACTAGCAATACAACTGAAACTACCCTTATGTCCCCTACACCCTTTGTTCATAGTCCTTCTCTGTCCTCCACCACTGATTTATTATCTGACAACGAAGACCTTGCTCCTGAAATTCAGGAAATGGAAGCTAAGTTGAATGGTTCTGCTGATGAAGAGGATACTGTGTTGAGTGACGAAGACGATGCTTACGTGCCAGTATGTGGTTATGAATATGATTTTTGGGAGAATTTGATAGATGATGAGTATGGTGGTTCAAATGCAGTAGAGATTATGTCTACTGATTATTCGTCTGACCAAATTGGAACCAATTCCTTTAACAATGGAAGAAAAAAAGGATAATTTGCTAGGAGGAAAGATTCAGCGTCAACCTCTAAATGCAACGGTAAACAGGCTATGGTCCTCCCCACACAAACGTACCTCCAAGGACGACCTCAGCCGGATTTCCAGGTGTTGGTCCGGGCCAAACTCGTAAGCTTTCAGATATC